ATTAGAACACACAGGTGTACCTTGCTTACTATCTGACCATCAGATACTAGATTGGTTCTCACTGCTGCACCCAGTGTCTCATAGAACCTTTACTTTCTTATCCCCGACATAGCCTTCACATATTGGCATGTTATGAGTTGTTGGCACCTCTCATATTTGTAACATACTCAAATCACTACTGGCACTGTTGATCCATTGGCTAACTTCAGATGATCATTAGTTGTACACTGATCAATCATGGAAATGGCACTTTTTTCTTGCAACAAATATGAAGTTTTTTCTTGATTACTTTTTTTTCTGACAGTGGCACCCATGGTGACAGTCACTTTTTTCTTGTTAGCACCATCTTTGTAGGTAGCTCCAGCTGCTTTATGTTCAGATTTCTGCTGTTGCTTGCTGGTGATGGACTTGCACTCCTTTGCAATGTGCCCCATTTTATGACAAATACAGCATATCTTCTCCTATTTGTCTGTTAATCTCCTGTCCCTATTGGTAGACTCCTGCTCAGCTATCACTGGTTTCAATTTTAACTGGATATACTTGAACTTGCCAGTTATACTCCCTCCATGGGCTTCCATATACTGTTTATCTCATCTAGTCCTTTGGCGCTCTCTCCTTTAGGAATAGTGACATATAATTTAAGCACGTGAGCATGAACTGTTCATGTATTAGTAGATCTGTCAGTCCCTCAAAATTATTTTCAAACTTGGCCATGTCAGTCCATCTGGTGAAGTATCGAAATAGACACGCCACAAACTGAAATACAGTTTCTCCAGTGTCAAGTTTGACTTCTCTGAACTTCCAACAAAAACCTTTTTCAGTAAGTTCATACCATTTCAGCAAGGCCACTTTAACTTCTGACATCATGCCAGTATATACTTGTAGGCCTTTTCCTGTGAGAAGTGGGCTGAGACAGACTGCCCAGTCACCTTTGTCCCAGTTCTGACTTTAGGTGAATCTTTGCATACGAGATAAATTATTTATGTGATTCAAAAAGTTTGGTTATCAAATAATAATCTCAGTCAACTATGAATTAGTGGTAACCATGCAATAAATGTGAAATATGTTTAACAAGTGAATGCTTACTTTATCTCTAACCTTCTTTTTTATATATTTGTTTTCTTAACTTAACGGCTTTTATAACTTTTCTTACGGTTACCTCTCTTTCTAAATTTTCCACAGCTTAAGTACTGCTAACTTGTGTGATCAATACAATAGTATGGTTACAATAAGCATAGTTTTGCTAATATTGAATTAGTCAATTTCCAGGAATTAAACATTTTTCTTTCAGATGTCTCTTTTTAACTTGATCACATATTAAGTGAATTATTTAACAGTTAATCCTAGTCTATCCAGGGGTAAATACTGAGTTTCTAGTATAGCCTTAAGTTCTAATCATTTTGTTTCTTCACTTGTCACTAATTCCTTCACAATTGATACTTCTGTATTCAATTTGAAAATGGTGTACTTAGTTTTGCTTCTAAAGCTTGAAGGTAGACTTACACCTTGTCCATGTATGGAGCAATTTCACATTAATATTAAATAGTCAATACATTTTAAGTTTTTGTTTTTTTCATTCTTACCTGATAAGTAAATTGGTGTACATCTGGCTTGGGATACACTATACACAGTATTGTTTCATTTATAATATTAAATAATCAAGTACCAGGTTTTTGAGTGCTGAAAAAAATCAAATTCCTTTTTCTCATAATTCAGGTATTTTATCTTGTATTCCTGCAAGTATTGCATAATTACACAGTATATTCCTGAATTTTGATTACATACTCCGATTGGCATATTGTCATTTTCAGTCATTTATAAATACATGTTGGTCATTTGAACTTGTTTGATATCGGTTTAACTACTATTCCAAACACATTTAATGCTACTGGTAATGAAACAATCTTATATACTTTAAATAATTCATCAATCACCTTTAATGCTATTTTTTATAAGTATTCTTATGGAAACTTTATCTAAATGTGATATGACAACTACTAATGCATAACCTAAAGCATCTGTGATTAAAATGAATTCTTTACTGAAATTAGGATAACTCAGAAATGGTGACTTTAATAGTGATTCTCTCAACTTTTCATATGCTTCTTGTCTCTGTCAACTGGAAACTTACATCATTCTTTGTTAACTCCATTAAAGATCTTGCAAGTATTGCAAAATGTGAAATAAATATTGTATAAAATCCTATAAATACACAAATATCTTTCACGGTCTTTAGCACTGGATAAGTTTTACATAATTGTCTTTTTGGGGGATTTGGTTTTACACTTTCTAGTGACCACATGACCTAAGTAATCTACTTCCTTTCAATTTTACATTCCATAATCTATTAAAAACATATACGTCTTAATCTATGTGTTCCACAAAAACTATGACATTATCCTAGTAATGAAAACATTCAGTCTTGTACTCTCTGGCATGTTGGAGGGGTTTTCCATAAATCAAAAGGCATTCTTTGAACTGATATTTTCCTGATGTTAATGTACTTCCATTTTATTAATTTAACCCTACCAGCAGATCCTGGAGTGTGACTGTGGTGGTCTATAAAGTCTTCCAAGCTTTGATCAAGGCCCTCTTGGTGTTGGCAAGCTGAATCCACAAGAGTAACACCTTTTCAATGAACTACAGAGGAGACATAGCTCTCCAATGCAGCTAGTCCTCATCTCAATTGTAGATGGCCCAACCTTTAATTCACTCAGCAATCATTTCCTGGCAGGTGGTGCATTGATAATAGAAGTGGACAATGGTTAGACAAGCTGCCAGTGTTACACTATTTCATTTACAGCATATACCCTTGATGAGGTATTCAGGTTTGACAGTCTCCCCTCCAGAGGCTGTAGGCATCCTTAGGGGACTTGACACACTCCAAAGCTCCTAGAGAATCAAAGCTCAGGTAAGGTTTTCTTGGTTTAGACATATAATGTTTCCATCAGAGGTGTTAACACATCTGCCTACATTAGTGCTTGGTTACATCACACCATTTTAGGGACAATTCTCATTTCTTCCTAACACTGCTGACTATTCTCACTGGAGCTGGTAATGGTGTTTGTAGGTGAGCTGCTTGAAGCTTGGTTCTTTCAGTGTCTAAGGCCAAGACTGATGCTGCTCCAGTACATCCAATGGAAGCCCTATCATGGTGAATGAGAGCCTTGTGGTACCAAGAAACTTCAGGGCCAACTCCACAATAGAAAGTGAGTTCTTCTCTGTCTGATGTTTCAGCAATGCATCTTCATCCATAAGCCCACTACATTGAACATCAGGCTGGCACCAAGAGTCCTGGGCATACTGGTCTTCATTAACCCAATGACCACCAGCTACTAACTTTCTGAGTATCCAATGCACGTCTTGCTATATTTCATTCCAACAATAAAACCTAATGGATGAAACTGTTTGAAACTTCATAAGAACTTTCAAAGATGTGTGTAGTTTAAGAAACAAAGGCTGTTACTTTTG